CTTCATCTCTATCTTTCTCACTCGTCAAACAGTTCCAGGCCTGTGCCTAGGCGAGGGGCCGACAATTTAACCTCGCCATCCCTCTCTCATTCATTAAAAGTTACCAGGCCCGGGCCTAGGCGTGGGCACGTCTATTCTCTCACATTTCTCTCTTGTCTTCCTCCAAATATTCTAAGCCTACGCCTTGGTGCGGACACACATTCACCTCTTCTCACTTCATTCTCATCTCTCAATCAACTTACACGAGCCCATGGTTTAACCATGAGCCCAACACACACTTGCGCACACTTGACACAAGGTGAACAAAAGAGCTATGCTCCTTGTTCTACCTGCACACACTAACCCCTCAGTGGGTAACCCAAGGCCAGGTGAAGCCCAAAACGCTGAGCCCAGTAGCCCCCTCTTTCAAAACCCTTTTACACCAAACCATGGATTTATTAATCCAGTATGACCCTGGATTCAGTTCAGAGAGTTTTAATGGACTCTAAGCATGTTTTGGTCTTTAATGATCTCAATCCCCAACAGAGTCATATCCTTGATACACCTAATCCCCATTAAGAATACATTGAGACACACCCTTGCATTAAAACTTCAAAATTACACTCAATCCTATCATTGGGGTTGACAAATGCTGTCCACTGAAAAAAAACCTGATCGCTCACAAAAACCATGGGAATCCTAAATCATCCCATTCACCATCCCTGTCCCTATCATAAATCATCCTAACAACCCTTGTTCACTTGGGTTTCACCTTAAAGCTCCATCATCCCCATGGAGCTATACCAAACATACCCTGCTCATTTGAACTCTCATAAGACCCCATGGGTGACATCATGCTCAGAGCACCATAAGAACCCCTGATGACACACCATCCCCAATGGTCCATCAATGCCCAAAAGGACTATCACCCTCAGTGGTCCATCACCATGGATGATTCATCATCCCTAGTGGACTACTACCACCAAGGGACCATATACCCCAACGGTCCATCTCCCCCGGTGAATTGTTATTCATGATGGACCAACATCCCCAATGAGTCACTGCTTTCAATGGTCCATTAATCAACCCCAATGGTCCATCCACCCCAACAAACCAACATCCCAAGTAGACCGGCATCCCCAACGGGTCGCTACTGCCAATAAACCATCACCCCAAGGGTCCCCCATTGATCCTTGATCCCTCGGTAGAAAGTCACCATCCTCAAGCGATTACTACCCCCAGTGGTGTAAGTATACATCATCCCCAGAGAATTTTCATGCATTAGAATCCATTGGTCCATCCAAAACCTCAATACCCAGCAAATGTGAACCATTCATCACCTTGTAAAACCTAGTGCATCCCTAGTAATGTCCACGTCCCCAATAAAAGCCTCACCTACGGTATTTGTTACCCCAGTGAGCCTTATGCAGATATAATCACTCTATCCTACACATTGTCAAGGAGGAGGATTTCTCTTTAAAAAAAAAAAGAAGCCGGGTATGATGAGCATCCGATGAGGATCGTCATGAGTAAAAGTGAGAGCTTCAGGCGGACATAGCCATGAAGCTATGGGTAAAATTGCCAAAAAAAAGTAAAATTGGGTATGATGAAAAGTCGAAAGGACTCCATGAGTAAAAATGAAAGACGGGCATGGCTATGAAGCCATGAGTAAAAGTGTTCTAGTAGAAAACTGGACATGGTGAAAACCTGAAAGGGCGCCATGAGTAAAAAATGAAAATAAAAAGGTGGACATGACCTCGAAGTCACGGGTAAAAGAGCCTCAATAAAAAGAATAAGTTGGTGAAAACCGTCTCTACGGCGCCACTTTTATCAAGTTCAGGTGAAAACCCGAAAGGGCACCTAGACAAATAAACAAGTTGATGCTGCTTTCGACCAAAGGCGACTTCAACCAATTACAGCAAAAGTTTGGTTGTTGAAAGGCACTGAGTGAAAATCCGACCAACCCTTCCCATGAAAAAGTTCTAGCTACACTGGGATCAAGTCCATGAAGGGCCCTCAGTTGTTGCAATAAAGGATTTCTTCTGATGTGGGAGCAATCCCTTAAAAGAAACTCACTACGGGACTGGAAAAATTGGAAGGTACTGGGTAAAAATCAGACCAGCCCTTCCCATGAAAAAGTTCTAGCTACACTCGGATCAAGTCCATAAAGGGCCCTCAGTTGTTGCAATAAAGGATGTCTTTTGATTTGGGAGCAAGCTCTTAAAAGGCACTAACTAGAGGACTGGAAAAATTGGAAGGTACTGGGTGAAAATCAGACCAGCCCTTCCCATGAAAAACATTCTAGCTACACTGGGATCAAGTCCCTATAGGGCCATTAGTTGTTGCAATAAAGGGTGTCTTGGGAGCAAGCCCTTAAAAGGCACTCACAAGGGGACTGGGAAAATTGGAAGGTAGTTGGTGAAAATCAGACCAGCCCTTCCCATGAAAAAATTATAGCTACATTGGGATCAAGTCCATAAAGAGCTATCAGTTGTTGCAATAAAGGATGTCTTCTTATGTGGGAGCAAGGCCTTAAAATGCACTCACAAGGGGACTGGAAAAATTGGAAGGTACTAGGTGAAAATCAGACCAACCCTTCCCATGAAAAAGTTCTAGCTACACTGGGATCAAGTCCATGAAGGGCCCTCAGTTGTTGCAATAAAAGATGTTTTCTGATGTGGGAGCAAGCCCTTAAAAGACACTCACTACGGTCTTGGAAAAATTGGCAGCTAGTGGGTGAAAATCAGACCAGCCCTTCCCATGAAAAAGTTCTAGCTACACTGGGATCAAGTCCATAAAGAGCCATCAGTTGTCACAATAAAGGATGTCTTCTGATGTGGGAGCAAAGCCTTAAAATGCACTCACTAGGGGACTGGAAAAATTCGAAGGTACTGGGTGAAAATCGGACCAGCCCTTCTCATGAAAAAGTTCTAGCTACACTGGGATCAAGTCCATAAAGGGCCCTTAGTTGTTGCAATAAAGGATGTCTTCTGATGTGGAAGCAAGCCCTTAAACAGGGCTCACTACAGGGACTGGAAAAATTGGAAGGTATTGGGTGAAAATCAGACCAGCCCTTCCCATAAAAAATTTCTAGCTACACTGGCATCAAGTCCATGAAGGGCCCTCAATTGTTGCAATAAAGTTATTAGGTCACTTTTATGATACATTTTGAATAAACACTGCTTTTTACAAAATCTCTAACAAAATAAAAAACAAATATACAATTTGAAAATTACTTTCGTGCATTACAAATGAAAAAAAACTAAGCCAGGACATCAAAACATACCATGTATCAGATACAGAAGTTGGGTTTTAGGTGGAATAAAAAAAGGAGCTGATGTCAAAAAGTGGAGGATCAAGCCATTAATCTTCTCTTTAGCCTTGAAAATCATTAGGGTCGTGTAGAAAGTCACAAAGTAAAATCGATCCAGAGAACCGACAAGGTAGACATTTGGTCGATGCCAGAAAACCTTTTCTTAGAGGTTTGGATATGCTGACTGATACGAGGTCGTGTAGGGGGTTAAAATGATTCCTAAGGCACCTCCCCAACTGACAGGAACAAGCTAGAAGATTCTTAGCTATGGTTCTCAAAATAGCCAAAAAAAATTATGACCAAATTAGCACAACTCAGCGACTTTTCAGACAAACCCTAACTCAAGTAGGAGAGATTCCTCTCAGGTGTTAAGGTCCCCTTTCCCATCTTTCCTGTATGAGCCATCATCCCTTTCTTCTCTCATCAGCTCTACGTCTTCTTTCCTTCCAACCATTTCCCCCTCCAACCAGCCGTACTCCCGTCACCTCCCATTATCTCCATTCCCCCTCCAACCAGCCGTACTCCCATCACCTCCCATTATCTCTAATGAAACCATACGAACCCAAGACCCATCCTTGTTCCTCCTAAACACCCCATGCCCCATACGCCTTAGAAACCTTATCCAGCCATCCTATATTAACGTCTTCCCAAACTCTAACATCCTTTCTCTAGCATCTCAATTCTCCATCCAACCAACCAAATCAGTTATGCCCACCCTAGCTTCCTTTGATACTTGCACCACCCTTCCACCCAAAATCCTAAGCGATCACCACCACCATCATCAAACCCTAAAACTCAATATTCCTTGCATGCCATCTTCAAATAATCCTCAGCTAGCTTAGACCCTCATACCCCATCTTCACCTAAACCTAGGTGCTTCGAACCCCCTGCATGCCCATCTGCATACCTGGACACTGATTCCCTCTGGAAACCCTCAAACCCCAGCCGTAGTTTCTCCCTCAAACCCCAACCCTAATTTCTTTTTCAAACCCCAACACTAATTTCCTTATACCCTTGCTTAACAAGCCTTTACAAAGTTGTATAGGAGCCAATATCTTTGGTCCCACATCAATCTTGATTGGTTGGACCAAGTAACACTAAAACACTTGGCATCTCAAGTCTTAAAATTCTCAAAAATTACCAAATGGGCAAACTAACTTTACTGAGTCGAGTCGAGGAAAGCTTAAGTATAAGTTTTTACATATTCATGCACAAATGCACAGACTTGATATGTATTGGCGTATGCATGTATATAACATACATGCATCTCTCTCTCTCTCTCTCTCTCTCTCTCTACACACACACATACACATGCTCATGCTTCGACATTAAGTACCAAAATATGCATAATATATTTACTAACGCTATGTCAAAAATATGCATGTATATCATCAGATACATGCACACTACAATCAGTGGACAGATTATATAGGTATATGGGTGCAAAGCATGCATATATCTTGAAAGGGGTAGTAGATCAATGTTAATCCGCTTACCCTGAATAACATTTAACTGCAGCAAGGGGTATAGATTTCCATAATGGCAGGGCAAAAATGTAAGCAAGCCAAAACATCTTTAGTGTAGTAGAAGTTCAAGAAACGATGTGAACAAGAATCTATGTTTCTGATGAATTCTTGAGCATGCTACATTATTATCACCGACTTCAATTAGGCACACAGCTAGACCAAATGCATGTAAAACAGCATCACAGCCCAAATGAAAATGTTCACCTTCCATGCGCAAGAGATCACAAGTTCAGACTTTAGAATAGCCTCTGACTTTGGAAAAGAAGAAAAAATACATTTATTTGTACAAAGGGGGAGTGTAAATTGTAAAACCCTCAAACGCTCCCAAAAATTGTGTACATGATAGCACCTAAAAACCACAGATTGTGCTACAGATAGAATATACAGCTTCGATGGCGTGCATATAGTAAAGATCAATAGCACACAAATAATCTGGAGTCCTATATCGCCACGTTAGAACAGAGGCGTGACTCAATAGTATTTTTATTACCTAGCCTGGCATGAAAATTACCCGTATCTGACATATGCCAAACCAATCTTTCGAAGCGATTCCAGTTATCAGGTAGAAAGAAATTCTTATTCATTCTCACAAAGAGAAAGGAGCAAGCTGGATCAAGACCACCATCAGGATAAAGTTTGGAGCTCTTCAAGACCTGTTTTGATGAACTCTCGTCCAATTTTGTCAAAGAATTCTCACCTGTTAGGTGTATATTACAAATCTTAGCTGCAAAGACGATTTGTTTGAGAAACCCTTCCGGGCTGCTGTGTATATTGAAAAACTTTGCATTCTCGTCACTCATATCAAAGCATGGGCAACAAAGAGACACTCCATGTCTGGCAAACATGTGAGCAATAGGAATGTAACCATCTCTAAAGGATGTGTTGAAATAACCAGCAGTCAGCTCAGCAGGGTGAGATTTCAGGTCATATTGCCAATGTATTCCACCCACTTTAGCTGAGAGCTTCACTCCTGTTCCTGAGAATATTGACTCAGCTGCTATACATAGCCTCTCCCCATGCAAGAGGAGCATCCCTGAATACCATTCCAGAAAGAAATGACCATATGGTGTATTCCATGTGCCATCGCTCTTAAAAAACCCTGTTTCTTCAGGATTTTGGTAGTAGGAACCGGCATCAATAGGGCCACCCTTTCCCCACTCTTCCTTTCCAATTTCTCGGGCACAAGCATCCAGTGAAGCGAGCATATGCTGGATCTCGTAAGCAAAACAAGGGAGAACATAAGAAAAGAACCATGAACACAGAAACTGCTCAATCCACTTCATGGAGTCAAACTGTGAAGGACGTTAAACTAGATGAATAAAAAATTATACAGAGGGAAAGTATATTATATTCCAATAGACCATGGAAGCACCATCATCCACGAGGACAAACCATAAAGAGACTACAGAAGAACATTACTCCATTGGGTAACACCACAAAAAGACAATGGTCCTTTCGTAGTTTATTCGACAGTAACATGCCAGAACAAATAAAATAAATAAAAAAACTCCCAGAGTAATATAAATGGGTGGATAGTCCTACAAAACAACTAAATAAATGAATCCTTTTGAGTACCTTATCATAGCACTGGAACTCGCCAATTCCTTGAGAACTCCATGATAGATTCTCAGAAGGGTGTGATGGGTATCTCAGCTCTCCAGCAGGACCCATCCCAACTTGAATGCCCTGCAACACATACATAGCAACATGCAATGAACTTTACTGGTTTAGATCAAATCCAATCTGAATCATTCGACATGTGTAGCTAAATAATAACTTTTGAACGACATAGGCCTCACTGTTATGATGACACCAAGAAACTGTTGGAATGTGCCCCTGAAATTCCTCATAAAATCAGAATAGGCTTGAATTGGAGACCGACCCCTCAAAACTGGAAGCAAATCACTACCCAAGGAAATATAATCATAATTCCTCCTTCCCTGCCTGTCCGTGTATGCCGAATCCGTCTCCCTTTCCATTTCTTGACGTACCCAATGAGGCAGCGTGATACTTCAAAATCAAAAGGGCGACAAGAGCAGCACTAAATTAAAAAAAGCAGACTTGCAATCAAAATAGATATGATATTGTCATTGAGATTGGTTATTTTCTAGATTTTTAGTCCTTGAGATTAGTTTCTAGAACTCCACATAAAAAAAGGAAGTTTTTCACCAAGGGCATGTTTGTTTCAGTGGAACTTTGGGGTGGTGGGAGACCCAAGATCCACCAAACAGACTCCGACATTTGTTGGACACACTCATGGAAGCCGCAAGATGGAAACCGCAGGTCCCATGAGAGAGCAAAAACTACGTCTCTTGACATTGTTTTATGAAAGCTGCCCCTTCCATGAGAGGGCTTTGGCAGCCCCCTCTTCCATGAACAAATACGCCCTAAAAGTTCCACACCCAGCCATTTACTAACATGCATGAATTTAAGGCCCTAAGAATACGTAACAAAGTCAACCTTTCTCCAAAAACAAGAGATATACTTTTAAGGCCATGAGAATCAGAGAAACAGATTGGGTTGGGGGCAAGCACCCTGAAAATATCAATGCAAAGAGCAAAGAAAATAAAATCCATAGAGGCAGTCTAAATTCTAAAGATTTTCTATGGAAGTGATTCATATCATATAGAATCAGAGAAATACATTGGGTTGGGGACAAGCACCCTGAAAATATCAATGCAAAGAGCAAAGCAAATAAAATCCATAGAGGTAGTCTAAATTCTAAAGATTTTCTATGGAATTCATATCACATTTTCAACTGTTTGTTTACTACCCAGAAATGAAAATGAGGATAAAGAGGACAAAAATAGAAGGGAAACAAGAGGGGAAAGAAAAAAATGAAACAAGAGATAGTTATCGAAGATTAATAGATGCAAGATCACATGGTTTTCCATCCAAGCAAATGATGTACCATAGTTCTTTGTGACTTCTTTGGTACACAGAATGAACTCAAAATATCAAACCAATAGATCGGCCAGCAATATTCTAATCATGCGTTGGAAGTTGAATAGAAACAGGTCTTGTTAGTGTCATTTTTCAATGCCATAATGGATAAACATGAAAAGGCACAAAAGGACCTAAAGAAAGGGGAAGCACAAGCCAGCCATTATAAATACCCAAATCAAGCTACTAAGAGAAAGAGGGCCACACTTGTTCATTTTGATAATTCGACTTATCTGTTTTTTCGTTTTCTTTTTGCTTTTTTTTTTTTTGACAAGGTTACATAGGAATAGAACTTGAGACAAAGTGCTATGAAAACCCAGCTGCTGCCGTCTTAACCCAAGCCCGATTCCTTCAACTTATACTTCCTTCTACAACAATACTTTCACCAATCTAGAAAAACAGGTAGCAAGAGAAACAGAAACAAGGAGTCTGAACTTACTATCAGAATAATATCAAAAAATAAATAAATTTCTGTTATCAGTAGCTCCCCCACCACCCAGAAATTGAAAAAACAGGCAGCCACACACACACAGAGATTGGTTTAGAATTTTATAAAAGAATCAGATAAGCAACTTAAACAGTCACTAACAGTGAGTCCACCATTGCCAAGAACATATACCAGCAGAGAAATATAGGCATTAATAACAGCAAAGGAAACACTTAATCAGCAACCTACGTCAACCCATATACAAATGATCATCTTCCAATGCAAAACCAATAACAAAGAAACAAGCACCTGAATAGTGAAAGCAAGGAACCAAATGTCAAACTGAATCTTAATTTCCCATTATCATCCAGAAGTGGAGCACATAAAACTGATATAGAAAAAAAAATACTAAGGCAAAAGCAAAAATGTTAAACAAATAAATAAAGAATCTAAAAGACCATTGAAAACAATTTTGAACTTCCATTGTCAATGGCATCTCCAAATCCCAAAACAATAGAAAGAGAAAAGATGCAGCAGAAAGAACTAAAAAGAGAGTACTCATAACTCCTTCCCTACCGGCCTGTGTAAAAAGAAGTCAACAGTTTTTTTTTAAAAAAAGAACTCAAAAGAGAAAACAAAAGCACTTGAGAAACAAACAAACAATCATATATGTAAAACATGTATATGAGGGGGTCATCGAGTGCAATTCTTCACACCAAATGAATTCTGAGAGCAACGAAAGAGAGTGTATCTTGAAGTTTAGCATTCATGAACTCCAAGAAAACCAACTCTGAAAAGATAAATCAAAGAAAGAAAGAAATATGCCTGGTTCAGAACATAGTTGGGGAATAACAATATATCGGCAAACCAAGAAGGGAAAATGCAACAACCCAAGAAGATTCAAGAGACAGAGGTAGAAAGGGGGAGAGAGCTGATATGGTTGAGAATAGGGAAAAATGTAACAATCCATCGAATTCAAGAGAGAGAGAGTACTGGCAAGGATCAGCTTCGGTTCCAACACAGCTATGAAAGGCCATGACCGCCCTGACCTTCAACCCATGCCTCAACGCCATCTCCACAACCTCTCTGTAACCTCTCCAGTCATAAACTCCTGGTCTATCTCTCTCCACTAAACCCCACCAAACATCCATAGCCACACCCTCCACACCTGCAAGTTTCAGTGCCCTAAAACTCACCTCCATAGCCTTCCTCCTCATCATTTTCCCATCTGAACTCACTGAATCAAGAGGCAGAGCCACAAACACAGGGAACCCTCTCCCACCTCTCGATTGAGCAGGGCCCAAGTAATGGAGCTCGTTTGGCTCTTCAGGTGAGACTGAGCCATCAGCGCCAGAAGGTTTAGAGAAGAGCTTGGCCATGGCGGTCAGACCTCCCTGCCCTAGGTTCCTTTGAGCCCTAGCCCTGCAAGTCTTGTGTGCCCTAATTCTGAAATTGCTGGTTGTCGATAAGTGAGTGCAGCGAATTGAGGCTGGGGTTCCACCACTTGAGAAGCTTGAAGGTTCAGATGGGTGATGGCGGGTTCTACAGAAAGAGGGGGAGATGGAGGTGGGATAGATCGCCATTGTTGGAGAGAGAGAAAGAGAGGAGGGGCAGGAGAAATCAAGAGGAAAGAGGGGTGTGAATTATGAGATGAGAGAGAAAGAGGGCCTTCAACAATGGGAGGGGGATTTATGGGATGCGTGGCGAGTGGGGAGGCGGAGAAAGATTTGGTGGGAGGCGCTTCCCAAGTCTTGTGAGAGGAATCATTTGGGTTGGCGCGATTGGAGTTAAGAGGCGGGGTGGGGGGGGGGAGGAAAGCTTCTTGGACTTAAATGGCTCGTGCGGCTAGTTTTCGTCTGGTTCGTCCCGGTTCACTTATGGAGCTCGTCTAGTTTTGATCTGGTTCGTCCTAGTTCACCCTCACAGCCAAGGTTGCCCTAGCACATCGCCACTAACTTTGCCTCGAATCCGACCGCTTCCCCTGAAATTTGGGTAAATATGGCGAAATATTACAATCTTTTTAATCCCAAATGATTGGACCGAATTGTTGGTTGCAATGTTTTAAAACACGGAGATCTAGTTCGAGAATCATCCATCTGAATTGATATCGAACTAGTTTCGGGAAGATATATGAGTCGTTCGATATTTTTTTCTTCTTTATATTTATCTAATGTTGTTTTAGGGTCCTCTTAAATTCACACCCCATAAACTCTTATTTCAATTTTTTATTTTATATTTTTATTGCTTTTTGGATTGGTCATTCGGATCGATTTGGATAGTCGATCCATTAGTCTAACACGGATATGTAGGATGGACAATCCACCCCACCTATCTTGATTTTGAAACACTAATTGACATTTCTTTTCTAAAAAAGAAAAAGAAATTATTTTAGGGGCGAAATTTCTTACAAGATCGTTAAAGCGGTTAAAGATCTCATCTAACCTTTGAGTGGTTATTTTATTTTTTTATTAAGATACCTTTTTATAAAAAATTAAATATTTTTCAATTGTTTTTGTTCAGGATTGGAAAGAAAGGGCAATAAGTTTGTTCGGTATCGATAGTATCGAATAGGCCCTTACTACTAGTGATAGTCGAAAACGCATGGGATTTCCCACCTGCCGAGTGTTAAAAATGTCAGGTAAGTGGGTAATTCTAGAAAAAAAATATAGGGTTGGGAGTGGTCTCTGCATAATTGTACAAAAAAGTATCACTCATACCGCGTTGAAACCCTACCCATATATAATTGTTCCTTTTTAAAAAGACATCGAAACGGGTCAAACATTTGGCACATCGAAAATCCTCTCTTTATTTTTAGGCGAAGACAATGGCTTTAAGCCATTTAAAGATGGAGGGAGCACTTCAAAGTGGATGGTACTTCTCTCTCGTATGCTACAACAAAATCCATCGATCTCTTATCTCTGGGTAGTTTTACACAAAACCCCTATGGAAAAGCTATTTATACACGCATTTCTAGTAGATGCTTCCCACTAGGTATAATAACATTCATGGGATATAGTATCTATAAAGCCTATGCAAACAAAGTAAAAACCTCACCTCAAATCCTTACCTAAAAAGCACTTTGGATATCATAAATCTCTCTAAAATGAATTTTCAATATTAGATGTGAAATTTGAGTGTAAAAAATATGGTACAGATCTTGCACATATGTGAACACTTATTTTTAGGGTGAAATGGACGGTTTAGATAAATGTGTTACAATTTACACTATCTTGAATGCTTGAAATCCTAATATTTTGCGCACAACCACATGGTCAAGACTGAGATGATGGATTTAAAGGTTTTTCAATAACAAAACTGCAATTTTTCAGTGACTTTTGAGGTGAGGCTTTATTTATTTTGATAGGGTTGGAGCCCTATCAAAACATTTGCCAAATCCATTAAGTTCTTTCTCTAATTTAAGTTAGTGTCGATAAAAAGTAATGATGAACCTTAAAACCCTTACTAAAAATGATGGCAGAAACCCCCCCTAATAATGGTTTAGAAGTTTTGTTTCCACCCCTAAAAAATTTGAAGCTCTAAAGGTGCAGATTTGGTGGATTCATAAGCACTTAAAGATATATGGTCTACCTAATACAAGGTCCACCATTTAAAGATGGAAAAAGTTTATATAAGGTTGCAACCTTAAAATGTAGAACTATGGATGTACCTCAAAAATCCTTCGAAAAAAAGTTATTTTAATGTTGAAAAATCCTCTAATCGATCATCTCGACATAGAGATGTATGACTATAAAAAACAAACGTATTTTGTGTCCCAAAAATAGTGCATCTTACAACACATTATCTAGACCATCTATTTTCAAGATTTCTATATATTTATAGATCTACTTGATTTTAATCATTTCTGGAGTTTAAAATTTTATAAT